GCACACACTGCACACAGGCTAATTGGCCATGCTTGTAAATTAATCCACGAGGAAGAAATGTGATTGTTTAGGAGTTTAAGCCTCTGCTGTCTCCCCTGTGCACGACGTGAGAGAGTGCTCGTTTTGTGTATTGTCTTTATTTAATTTTAACGTGTTATTTTTTGGAATCCATTCTAGCTTAGTCAGAGACAAAAGGGCGAAAAAAGACCAATGTATGGTTGGCTGGCAGAGCCCTGCCAGATCATTTGTTAGCTAATGTTTTGTCCTCCACGGCGATAAGATATGTAAGGATGTTATCTTTGTTACTATTTATTTCATTGCAGTTTCTAAAGGAAACTCAGTCTGCATCGTTGAAACAGTACTCATTGGCAAAAGAAATGAAAGAAACCACTTGAGATCCCAGAGTATGCCCTTCTTCATGTTTTAGTGAATTTTCCAAACACTGCACACAAAGACAATTTTACCTCACATGATTACACCAGAATACTTTTATATTCGTACAAGGTCATGAATACAATTCATGAAAGTGAATGATCACCATCATTTAATGGCTTACACACAGCATTCTCATGACATGGATGTAAATAGCATGCAGAAACCTCTGTCCTCCCCCTGTCTGTCCTTCACTTTCACAATTCCAAAGCTTCACTCCTGACACTTCTGGTCGCCAGATGTGTGGGAATTTCTCCTCACCAAGCAATTCTTTCAGACACCAACCGAGTGCCCTAACTCAGTTTCACTCTGTCTACCCAGAGAAGGTTCAGACCCCACAGGCAGGTTAGGGGAGAGTTCAGTCTCACAAGACGAAAAAACAAAACTCACTCTAATCAGATGCCAACAGAAAGTTCAGGTTGTCACCTGTATTTCTTGACCGATTGGCTATAATTAAATCGAGGTTCCCCATCACCTCAGGTGGGATTAATTTGCTAGAGCTTAATTGCAGTCAAAGGGGAAACATCGCCTACCAGTCTATTCAAGGATGTGATGAATGGTACAGATGAATACTCAGATGAAAGGCAGGCCCAGGGTAGGGTCCGTAAGGCACAAACCTGCCAATATCTTGTCACAGAGCCCCCTGCCCTCGCGCCTGCCTCCAATGCGTTTCACCAGTCTGGAAAGTTCTCTGAATCTGTACTTTCTGGAAATTTTAAAGTTTTTAAAATTTATTTTGAGAGAGAGACTATGCATGGTGCCAGGGAGAGCAGAGAGAGAGGGAAAGAGAGAATCCTCACAGGTTCGCACTGTCACAAGCAGACACAAGGCTCGGTGCCTGTAGTTGTGAGATCACCAGAGCCAAGACCACAAGAGTCAGGATGCTTAACCGACTGAGCCATCCAGGCCCTGTACTTTTGTATTTTTTTATGCTCCCTCAAGAGAAGGTGCAGTGCAGGGCTGAAAACTCCTCTACCTCCTAATCGCGGGTTCGTCTGCCTTTTTCCAATGACCAGCCCTCATCCCGAACCATTTCAGAAGCCCACCCAAAGGCCACCCCACAAAGACACTCCTAGTATCCAGGAAATTACAGGTGGGTTTTCGAGTCAAAGCCAGGAACTGGGGCAAAGGCCAGAGACCGGTATGTGGCTTTTTCTGTTATTTCTCACAGGCCAGCCTATTTATTGTCTAATTTCTGATTAGTCCAGTTAGGTCAATGAGCATAGCTGACCCACTCCTAGGTCCAGTGGTCTTTTTATAATTTGATGTGCAAAACTGCTTGCTGCTGCACCCTCTTTCAGTATTTGTGTAGTACCTTTTAATATTCGTCAAATATAAAGGGTTAGAAAGTTCATTTGTCCTTGGATTTTTTTTAAATGTTTATTTACTTTTGAGGAGAACAAGCAGAGAGAGAGAGGAGTGAGAGAATCCCAAGCAGGCTCTGTGCCATCAGCAGAGAGCCCGATGGGCTCCCGAACTCACAAACCTGCGAGATCGTGACCTGAACCGAGATCAAGAGTCGACGCTTAGTCGACTGAGCCGCCCAGGCACCCTCGTCCCTTGGATTTTTAGTAGGCAGTATAAGTCGTTATTAGCCATTTGTATTTTTTATACATTGCAATTTGTATCTACTGTCTAATTCTTTCCTTTAATGTATGGCAAAGTAGAACTCCTTACGCGTACAAAATTGCTGGCATCTAAATCTACGCCAGACACGCAACAGGACCTTCCTTGTCGAACAGTCGTTGACTGTGTTTGTCTCAACTGGTGGAAACCATGTCGCCTGCCTTCCTCTCTTCTTGTCCTATTTCTTTTCTGTGCACTGAGCTGCTGTTGCCATGACTCACCTCTCTCATTTTGGAAGGAGTAGAGAAGGCAGAGGTCTGAAGTAGAAAGTTGAATTTTTAAAAGCCCGAAAAAAATGGCAGTATATTTAGGACCCAGTTTTTTTTGTAAATAGATCGCCTTCTCAAGATCGCTGGCCAGTCCCACCATCAGCCTCCATCACGCTTTTCTTATTTGTGTGTCCAGAGAATGCCTTTCTTCTGCTCGGGTCCCTCGAGGTCCCAGCCTCAGTGGCCCGTGTTTATTCCCCACTTGTTTGTTTTTCTTCTCTGTCAGTCCCTTGTAAGTCCCCTTTCCTTTGGGAACGTCTGGCATGAATCAGAGCAAAATCTTCAATTATGCACTTCTTACTTAAAAGTTGCTCATGAGTTTCCTTTTAACTGTGTGCAGTAGACTACTTTCAATAGACTGCAGGCAGTTTACTTCCTGTTTCCTTCTAGTTTACTGACAAATGACATCGTTCACTATTTATGCAAAAATCCCCCATTTGTCTATTTATACAGCCTTCAGCCGCCTTGATTTTTCTTAAAATTATGTCGGAAAATGTGTCTTATTAGAATCCATATTAACTTCTTTTACTAAACTACAGTGGTCCTCTTTATTTCACCAATAATATCAACTTTGTTTTTAAAAGAAGTCCTTTCTCTGTCTCCCAAACTCTTTCAAATTCATGTAAGTTACACTGGCAAAATATGGATGGGATGAATTTTAGACCGGAGTTTTATTGTGTGAATTTTCAAATAATAATGGGACAAGTAGGGGGCTGGGGTTGTGCCTGGCTTGCTCCTAGCTCCGCGTTCTGGGCAGGTCATGTCGTGTTCTGGGCATTGTCCTGCCACCAGGCCAACGGTAGACATTTTGAACATTGGGTAAGAATAAGTTCCACTAGCTCCGAGCCACCTTTCAAAAATATTCCTTCAGAAAAGCAAAAGAAAATGTCCAGGTGAGGCTTCTTAGCAGACTTCCCAAGAGAAGAAAGCCATTAAGTTTGGAGAAATCCCTTTGAAACGAGGTAGGTGCTATTTTCTCTGGACTAGGGGCTGTTTTAGGTATTTTAAAAGGACAATCCTCCTCCTCCCATTTCTTTTTTTTGATCCTAACATTGATTCAGAGTAAGAGCAGTAATAGTGGATGAATAAACGATTTGAACGCTTTAACAAAAGAAACCTTCATTTTTCCCTTCTGAAGTTTAAATTTCAGAGTGCTTGTTTTGGCTTTGGAAATTTACTCACTCCCAGTGTAACCTCTGAAATACATCACTGGTAAATTTCAGATTTATGAAGGAAATGAGGCCTGAGGGGTGTCGTGATGGCATTAAGAGGTATTAACTCGCTTACAGGAGCCTCTCTTGAGTTTTCTTATCTACACTTATTTTCTGGAAGCAAAAAAGAAAGATTTCAGGGCCCCTTAGTGTGGATATTTCATTGGCTGGTAGTGAATTACAGCAAGTCTTTGGCCCACTGCAAGAATAATATAGAGCAATGTCAGCCTATCATGGTAAGGTTATTCAATTCAATTTATTTTACACAAATACTGTGCAGGATTTCTTTCAGAGTAGTGTTAGTTGTTTTTTTACAGTTAAGAAAAAGAG